TGGGAGATGTGACATACAAAATCTGATTAAGAGCAGTAAGGGAGCAGGGAAAGTTCTAGACTGTGAGGCAAGGGTGGATTAAAACTGCTCTGACTTTCAGTCAGTCTTCTCTCCCCGGGCAGGAGCAATTGAGCCCCTCTTCTACTAGTTAGTTCAGCTTCTGGAACACAGCCACACTCAATAATAAAGACGGTTATAGTGAGCTGAACAAACAATATTATTATGAAAGCCATTAATTTCTCAATATCTCAAACATCTGTATACATGAAATGGGAATAATGATTCCTGCTCTGCTTATTTCATGGGAATGTTCTGAGGATCTAAACTAATAATAACTTGCAGAAACACTTTCTAATGTGATGGTGCTTATACGTGGGTAATGTATGGTTATATTCATTCACTTGTCAAACATAACAGACTATTTTCTTTATCTCCTGAATTTGTATTCAATGGAACTGTAATGAATCTCTAAATCTTCTAAATGTGAACAATAAAAAAGTGAATGACTTTTCTTGGCAGTCTATATGCTATGGCTGAATTGTTTAAACTTTTATTTAAAACCTGGGGGAAGAAAAAGTATTCCCAAGAATAAAGATGTTACTTTTAAGTAATTTCTTTAGAAAATATTTCTTTTAATTTTTGCAGTAAAAATTAGCTTTGATAGTGTGGAGTACCTACCATACTATACTTTAGATCTCACTTCAATATTCAGTTCCTCTAGAAAATGAGATACCAGCAGGGTTTATTAGGGATAGCTACATAGCAAGTACCCACTTACTGTAGCTATGTAAAGAATGTGTTATTTAACAGTATTCAAGTGAGGATGCCTCAAATTGAATATATGGCAAAGAAGTAAAGGTACAAGTTGTTCTTCTAAGTATTTCAGGGAGTCTCATGAACCAGTGTTCTGGAAAAGCTCTATTTTGCTGATATAGATTTTTTTAAATGATTCCATATTGAATAACATTGCTTTGCAACATTTCATAGTAGACTTTGACTTTTAGCAATGACCTTTTTTAAGGTTTATTTATTTGTGCATACAAGAGGTGAGGTGCAGGCCAGAGGTTTAGAGGATGAGAGGATTCACTAGAGACAGAGTTGGAAGCAAAACTGGCAGATCTACTGAAATACATAGCTGAAGGGGACAACAGGTGGGTCAGGAGAGGTCTGCTGTGCTGAACTCATGCTGCAATGGCTGCAGATAGCTTCATAGTGCTGCCTTAATTCCCTGTGCCACCAGGGAGGGCCCCTTTTACCAATGACTTTAATATGTTATATACACATATTGATGCTCACTGATAAGCACCTGAAGTGTATGTAACATTATAACACAGCATCCCTTCAATTTAAAAAAAAATTTCAGGTATGCATCATGTAAGTCAACATCTATATTTATTACATTAAGTTCACTAAGAGTCCAATTTTACCCATTTAGTTTCAACTACCCTCTTACCTAGTTTTACCAAGTTTACCTACTCTCCCATTTTATTCTTCTCATTTTATTCTTGTGACAACTGATTTAGTCTTATAAAACTGTTTTTATTTTATTTAGTTCATTCGTTTTCTCCTCTATATGTGCTGCCCAGAACTTACTGCGCGAACACACACACCTGAGCTAAATACAGCTGAATATTTCTTTCTATTTTTTTTCTGGAATCCTATTCTTTAATATGCATTGCAAATATCAAAGAAAGGAATGTATTATAGAATTTTATTGAACTTATTTTATCATAATATGTTTGGCAGCATACTTATTATCTTCCAAGATAGTATCAGATAAATATAACTTTAAGAAATGTGCTGGCAATGGATATTTAGCAAGATTCAATACTTCCCATGCAAGGATGCACTTTGCAGTCTGTGTGAGCACCCACTGTATAAATATATCGTGCAGGATGCTGAAAGGCATAAGAAATTGGGTGTAATAATTTAGAAATTCAAAGTCCAGGAGTAAATTGCTCAGTAATCAACACTGTTGGAACAAAGCAACATAGTAAAATAGGGGCTCTAAAGGGGGAAACTTGCATCTCTTTAGGTGTAGAATTCCAATCACCTTCATCAATTGTCAAAAGCATAAATGTTGGCACTCCATTTATAGTAGTGGGCTTAGTAGAATTGGTCAAATGAGCGTGTTTACAGGTGAGTCATCACAGAGGATGACACTTTGGAATGGTACCTGTCTTCATTTGCCTCATCTCATTTACCTCAAATCAGAACAGGCTCAGCTCATTGACTTTCTTCAGTTCTGTAACTTTATAGTTATTTCTGTCATGGAATGGTGACTTTGCTTACTTAGTTTAAAAATAAAGAAGAAAATTGATTAAATTTTTAGAGCACAATCTAATTTAAGTAACTTACTGTGAAAAGATAATGGTAGACCAACAGGATATTTTTTAATTGGCTGAATCTGTGACTTTATGTTAAAAGGTTAATCAGTGAAGATTTTCCCTTATATTTTTCATGTTAACTTGAAATTGATAGGGGGGTTGTTTTATAATTTTTTTCATTTGGTACATGAGACCATAATGTCATATGATGACTCCCCACCCATCCCAGGAGAATTTCATTGTCCCCAGTCACCTCCTGCCCATAGTAAAGCATTTGTCCCTATGGGCATTGTCCTATGACTGGAAGGGAATTGAGGATTTCTCCACATAGGTGTGATATGTAATACATCCAAACAGAAACTCCGCAAGAGACTTCATTTTACCTAATATTACCAACTTTCTAGAAGAAGTGAATTCTAATCACCAGATAATAGAGTTCATTAGTTAGGTATGCAGGGATCTCTTCAGATACTCCTGTGTAACAAGAAGGAGCTTAGCTAGGATTTTTTTAGACTGTGCAAAAAGAATTTGTTGAGAACTGTTAAGTATTAGCATTTTGTGTGGATATTTTTGCAAACTCGGGAATTTAAGAAATAATCAACAATAATTGACCTTTTTGTTTAGTGTGGAGATCTAATTTCATATTTGTCTTTATGAGTAACTAATTGTTCTGCTCTCCTTTATTCAAGGATATGCTATGCCAGCTCTATCATTATTTGGGTATCCACACACGTGTCAATTTGGGGGTTCTTAATTGTGCTCCATCAGCTTATTTTTGTATCTCTCTATGTACCAGTACTCTAATTGCTGTAGCTTTTTCAAAGCTTCTGTTGGCATTTGCCTCCTACAGAGTTTCATGTTATCCTTTGGACATTGTCTGTGTGTCTGCGTGTGTTTTTTAATATGTTGAATGTATTTGAGTCAGTGCAATCCTCTCAGCACATAGTTATTAGGTACTGAAAATTGCCATTGTACATCAAAAAGTTGGAACAAGCCAAATTTTGAAAACTAGAAAATTTAGTAAAACATTTTGTCTTAATTACGCTCCAGCCAAACCATCCAATTGTAGTTTTCCATTTTTACAATCCTGCTAAGAAAGGCACTTTGCTGCAAATTCATATTCCTACTGCAGGCTTCTAAAGTACGTAGACAAAATTTATTAGTGTTTTTTTTTTTTTGAGTCAAATGAAAAAGTGGAAGTAAAGTATATTGAAGCCACATAGGTAGGTTCCTTGTAATTTACTGGAATCAAGATAGAAAAGAGATGCATGAAAAAGGACGCCACAGAATTTAGCGTTAAAGAAAGTACTGCACATAATGCATCGTAGCATAGAGTAGCTTACCCAATCTTCTCAGAGCGATCCTGAAGTTACTACCAAGTTACTAGCAGTACAAGGTGTATGGCTAAATCAATTCCATGTCAAATTACCCTGTAATAATGACAACTACATTGCAATTATTTTAATTATTGTTCAACCTTCATTTCCTTCTGTCATTTTCTTTGCAAATCAATGAAGGTAATGATATCTAATTTTTTTTTAAGATTTATTTTTATTTATTCGTACAGAACTGGGGTACAGGCCAGAGATGCGGAGGGTGAGAGGATTCACCAGAGACAGAGTGGGGTACAGAACAGGCAGATCGACGAAGTACACTGCTGAGGGGAGCAGCGGGCGAGCCAGGAGAGGTCTGCCTCGCCATGTGGATCTCCTCCGGGGCAGGCAGGGATCGAACTCATGCAGAAGTGGCTTAAGCTTCTTTGTGCTGTGCTTTAACCCGCTGCGCCACCAGGGAGGGCCCATGATATCTAATTTTACCATCCTTTCCCTCAATTACCTATGGAATGTTTACCTTAAATAAATGAGTAGGTAGGTCTGTTACTTCCCAAATCTTCACCATTCATGTCCCCAATTTCTTAAGAGTGCCTCACTCATTTTTAAGATGGAGATTGGTCAATTGTATGCATCTATTGTTTAGTAATATAATTAAGCATCTTCTTGTCTCATCTTGGAAACTTTATTACATTTTCCATTCATGAAGCCAAGAATGTGCCCTCACCTCCTTCTGACAATGTCGGAATTCAGTAACTTCACGATCCAGTCATAGGATGCATTTGATTTCCTTCATAAATCTGGTATACTTTACAGTTGCATTTTTACAAATTCCTTTCCACATAGGTAGAAAACATATTACCATGGAAACTTAATTACTCCTCCTTCATGATCAAACCTCTATTCCAAGTAAATGTCTTTATACTCCTGACAAATCCAAATCAAAAGGATGTTTTCTCTCTCTTTCCCCCCACCACCACACTCCCATCTTTCTGTCTCTATATCTTCACTTTAGAAAAGATTTCTGATATCACTTATTTTGTTCAACATTTTCTTTTTAGGTAGAATTTAAGAATTTTTATTTGTTGTTTATTTTTCTTATTTCTTATGTTTGCTACTTACTGCCTATCTTCCTCCAGTAAAATGTAAGTTCCACAAGAATGTTTCTCACCTGTTTTGTATAGAATGTATTTCAATTACTTCTTGGGCAAATCTGCTCAATAAATACTTATTGAACTAGTGAATGGCATGTAACATTTGCATAGGAAACTGTCCAAAAAATACTCCATGATTTGCCTTTCTCAAATGGTTTAATCAGTAATGTGTTATTTTATGCTTTCAGACATCAACATGGCAGGAGAACCCAAACCATACAGACCAAAACCTGGAAACAAAAGGCCCCTTTCTGCACTTTATAGGTAAGTGAAGAAGCACTATTTTATTACATGTAGTAGCGAAAATTTATTATAACTTTATAAAAGAAGATATAACCTATAAAACATCAAGTCAGTTAAAGAACATCTTCACTGGTATATAAAAAGTATAACAAAATACTAGTGGACAGCATATAAATATATCACACAAAATTGGTAGACATCTTGGATGCTTGACCTTCTTATTTGTCCTCAAACAACCTTCTATAAGATATTTCTCTAAGAAAACTCAAAAACATCTCTCATGACTGCTTGACAGCATAGAGATCAGTGTTTGTTGACTCTCGCTTTCATGTACTCTAGGTGTTTTGTATATGCGGTTTCATCTAATTTAATTTCGCAAAAATTCTGCATTGTAGTTGTTGTAATTATCATCTTACAGGTCAAGAAGTTCATATTCAGTTCTTTCTTAGCTCTTTTCCTGAGTCGTACCACTGGTAAAAGATGCAACCATGATTCAAACTCATATTTTTGACGTCACATTCTGAATTCTTCCATTTGATTATACATTTTCTTATCATAAATTACATGATCATTTTACCCCTTTTCTTTGAAACAACAAATACAGTCTTCTTCTCTAGGTAGACATATGTTATTCCTTTCATTTTTCCCATTATACTTGGACTGGAATCAATTTAACACTCTTGTTTTTTCTCTCTACCTACCCCCAGCTTAACAGTGTCCATACTATAATCTCAATGTCTTGTAGATAAAGTATATTTAGCATATTTATTATTCAGTATATGCTTCAATATGTTAAAATAAACATATTGATATGGGGAAGAAGGAAGGAATAAGCGTATTGATATGGGGAAGAAGAAAGGGGTACCTGGGGTAAAAATAATCATGTTCTATTCTTAAGCCATATGTCCCACTACATATAGTTTTGCTTCTGGTTTTCATACTATAGTGCTGACTTTGCATCTATCTCTGTTGAAATTTTTTTGTTAGACTTAGCCAATTGTTCTGGGGTATTGAGATCTCCTATCATCCAATATATTTGGTTCTCTCCCAGATATATATCACTCTATCAGTGTCCACATCCAAAGAGCTAATATAAGTGTTGAGCAAGACATGCTTTTTCTCTGATATCATTTAGATAAAGGAAAATTAATTCATACATATTGAACTTTATTATGTTCTATTCATTACTTATATATAGATGTGTATGTATGAGTACTCAAAAGATATCCTGGAGTTGTTTCCTTATCTTTATTCTGTGAAAGCAGGCATATATCTTTATTCTGTGAAAGCAAGCATATCTTCTGTTTTCAATCATCTTATAGCCTCACTTGCCAAACTATCAAATATAAGGGGTGGCACTAAATGAGTCCTATTCACACCTAATACCTCTAATGTGTGACATTCAGAAATCTTAAAAGATGTGTCTGGGAGTATATCTGAATTGTCTTTATTATCCTGACGGTGTGAACTTATTTAATTTTAATTTTTAAAAATTTGATATAAAAATGGAAACCTATAGGACTTAAGAAATACAAATAACTGGTTACAAGGCTTTATAAAGGTCAGAAATGAAGTAACCAAGAAAAGACAAATAATACTTTCTGTACCTGTTTGAGGAAAACACAATGTATAAAACTAACGCAAATTAGTTTTGATCTGATCCATTTTTTAAAGTGTTTGTGTAGAGATGCAGCTAATACAGAACATCTGAAGTCATTTTCAGTTATTAACAAAACAAGCTGGCAGTGGGTTTTTTTTTGGGGGGGTTGTTGTTGTTGTTTTATCAAAGATTTACATACTCTCTATGCAATGATGTTAATTTTCGTATTTTCACTGTTCTTGGAGTGTTTTGATTTTTTATGAGAGGAGAAGCTTATGACAAGAAGCAAATGTTTTTTCTGTTATTTCTCTATTACTATTATACTGAATTGATTCAAAAGAATTAGAAGCAGGAGTTCATTTAAATCTGATACACTGCATACAAATCACATTAGCCAGAATGCGTGCATTTATCCTATTTTCATCTGTTTGTACAAAGGAAGGCTGGAACTGACTGAAATTACAAAAATGGTAACAAAAGGAACAAAAGGAAGGGAACACGCAGCTGAATGAGCCTTTTATACAGACCTTCTCATTTTTATCTAAACTTAATAATAATAATACTAATACCTTACTTTTATGTAGACAGACTGTATTATCCTGGTCATTGTTCATCTGCTCACCACACAATTCCACAAAAGTTGGTATTATATTCCTTGCTTTATAGATGAGAAAACTAACTTTCCATGACAATAGAGAATTTGCCTGAAGCAAGGTAACAAAATTAGGAACTGAACTCTGTTTTTCAGCTTTCAGGTCTAGTGATGTTGCCACTAGATCACAGCTCTCCTTATTTACCTGCCTGCTACCATCTAAGCAATACAAATCAGAAAAAAGAGAGATCCCTGCCCACCAACCCAGTCATGTCCATGAAAATAATGCCAGCAGGTAGTAAAAGAAAGACCATATACCACATAATAACAAGTTACCACCTGTAAGACAAACAGATTTGTTTTCAAGTTCATGGATTTGAAGTTCAAGTTCCTTAACTATTAGTTTGGTAATTTTCCTAATAGGATGAAATTGCAAAGCAAGGTGAAACCACCTAGCTTAGTGTAGGGAATATGGTGGCTACTTAAAAAGCGGTGGTTTCTACTTTCCTGTTTTTGTATCTTTGAATCTGTTTCCTTATCTGTAAAATGAAAGCTGAAATAATTTTATTATTCATTCATTCACACACACAAGGAATATTGTGTTATGTGTCTACTGTGGTCGAGGTATTAGGTAGTTTCTCTTCTACACAAATGACAGAAAGTGTTGAGATTGCAGGGCTAACAGAGAATAATGACACAAAAGTAAATTATTTTATGGTACAGGTAATGTCTGATTTACCTTCATGCTCAGAGATCTGCTGTTTCTATATCTATTTATTCTGATATAAATGATCTACTGTCAAACTTACTTCTTTGACTATGTCCACCATATTGATATCATCAACCAAAAATTAGTATTTACCTGGAATAGCTATTGAAGCATAATTATGTTTTGTTATTTACTTTAATAGGGTAATAATATTTTCAAGTTAGCCAAACAATCTTAACTAAACATTTGTCATGTGCTAGATAAACATGGTATACAGAGAAGACACACATTTTTTAAAAAGTGAAGTTTAAAAACATTTATTATTTTACAGATGAGCTAGATGTACATACATACATATATATATATATATATATATATATATATATATAAGAGACATCAATAATTTATGATACCGTTCTATAAGAAGATCACTGAACATTACAGATTCTTCCTGTAGGGAAGAGTGAGTAGAAAGTCTGGATGATGTTTAGCCAATTTCTGAACAGGCATTCACAAGCAGATGAAAGTAAGGGGAAATTGCCAAGCAAAGAAAACATGCCCAGGAGCATAGAATATCTTAGGGTGGGAGCCAAGATAGTCTGCTTAGTGAAGACTAAGCAAGAACTTTGTGGTGGTCCAGACTGTGAAGCTCCCTGCATTACTACTATCAGAATTAGGAGATTTAGCTTTTATTTTATATCCCTCCGCAGGGAATGTGGAGCCATTGGAATACAGTGAGTGATTACAACTGGGGTAAAAGGAAAAGCAAATAGTGAATCACAGACATGGACAAAATTTCTTGAGTTAGCAACTGGGAATGTAACCACATGATTCTGATGGAAGAACTAGTAAAAACATGGTAAGAATCAGCAGAGTCAGGTATAGGCTTGGGGTAAGGAAGCACAAAGAAATGTTCAGCCTTGAACATGAATTCATAAAGACAGACAATACATTAAAATAGATGTTAAAGTAAAAATTCCTTCCCCCTAGAGATTATTTGTAAATGAAACATCATTAATCATTCGTGAACATTCCATAAATATTGGACAGGATAGAAATGGCAAAAGCAAATTCATTCTTTAAAGACAAAAAATCTACCTTGTCATAAATTGACACTTATGTACTATGTGTCTCTGGTACTCTAAAATAGAAATCTCCCCCACCCTCCCAGGAAGTGAGTTTCCCAGGATGACAAGTTCCTATTAATGCTCAGTAATTGCTAAATGAGAATAATTGCTTACTTCTGCTTATAAAGCAGACAGGCCTTTCCACTGTTGTGAGTAAAGCCAACAACCAGAGAATAAAATACCCTTTATCAGAGCTGAGAAAGTACAGGTTTCTATTCTCTAGAAGCGACCCTCCCAGTCACAGTAAGCATAGCTCAGGAAGACGCTCAGTTTCACCGCACTCATCTCATAGCTATTGCTAGGTATCATTCCAAAATAAAATCTGTGACTGTCAGAAAGACACCTTTCCTATCAATAGCATTTTTTCCATCCCACAGAGATGACCCTGAAGACCTAGATTAGCAGGACGTGGTACATAAGTGTCCTTAAATTTGTCCTTAAATTTGAGTAACCTGTAGCTACTGGTGTTACTGGTTTAGGTCACCACCTTGGTGGGAGCAGAGGTTCATGTGGTTTACATTATGTAAACATCAATGACCTGGCAGCAAAATATCTCTGTGATTTGCTTACTGCTGCACCTGCTGCAGTTCTATTACCATTCTTCATGGTAACTCTGACACATCGCGGGAAAGGAGGACCTTCAAGTGGTTCCAAATGTCTCCTAGAACCTTGATGACAGTAACAAAAGCCATAGAAGCTAATTTCAGCTTATGTTAAATAGCAAAATTCAATTTGAAGGAAAAGCTTCTTATGCATCTCCACTTCACTGACTTGCTCTGTTTGATGAAAAATATTTGCCAATTACCTATCAATTATTTTATTTATTTTCTGTCTCCTCTTCTAATGTCAAGGGTGATGCACATTCACTTTTAGAAGCTTAATATTCCAGTGTCATTGAGCTCCTTTAACATTTGCAAAAGCTTTCATTTCACTTACATAGCCAGATAAAATCACTAAGACAGTCACCTAGGAATGGACTCTCTAGTTTCTAAG